CAGAGTCTTCATTCAACAGGTGAGGGGTTGCCGTGCGAAGATAGCTGTACCTGTTGAACCAACGCCGGCCATGCTGCTGTTGGAACCAACGCGCGTGGACGGGCGCGTAAACCAAATGAGAGAGGCTGGCCCTGGGAATGGCGTGGTGCTTTTCAGGAAAGCACACCTGTGCGCATTCTACTCAAGATAAGTGGGTCACTCTAGGTCAGTGGTCCCCAACTTTGGGTAACCCAGGTGTTCTTGGGCTGCAGTTGCCAGCTGTCTTGGCTGGAGTTTCTGGGAGTTGCAGTCCAAGAACCCCTGGGTTACCCAGGGTTGGGATCCAGTGCTCTAGACCAGTGGTTCTTAACCTTAGGTTACCCAGGTGTTTTTGGACTGCAACTCCCAGAAGCCTTCACCACCAGCTTTGCTGGCTGGGGTTTCCGGGAATTGCAGTTCAAAAACACCTGAGTAACCCAAGGTTAAGAACCACTGCTCTAGACCAGTGGTTCTCAAACTTGGGAGTTGCAGTCCAAGATGTTCTTGGACTGCAACTCCCAGAAGCCTTCACCCCCACCTCTGTTGGCCAGGATTTCTGGGAGTTGCAGTCCAAGATGTTCTTGGACTGCACCTCCCAGAAATCCTGGCCAACAGAGGTGGGGGTGAAGGCTTCTGGGAGTTGTAGTCCAAGAACATCTGGAGGCCCAAGGTTGGGGACCACTGCTCTAGACCAGTGGTTCTCAAACTTGGGAGTTGCAGTGCAAGATGTTCTTGGACTGCACCTCCCAGAAATCCTGGCCAACAGAGGTGGGGGTGAAGGCTTCTGGGAGTTGTAGTCCAAGAACATCTGGAGGCCCAAGGTTGGGGACCACTGCTCTAGACCAGTGGTTCTCAAACTTGGGAGTTGCAGTGCAAGATGTTCTTGGACTGCACCTCCCAGAAATCCTGGCCAACAGAGGTGGGGGTGAAGGCTTCTGGGAGTTGTAGTCCAAGAACATCTGGAGGCCCAAGGTTGGGGACCACTGCTCTAGACCAGTGGTTCTCAAACTTGGGAGTTGCAGTGCAAGATGTTCTTGGACTGCACCTCCCAGAAATCCTGGCCAACAGAGGTGGGGGTGAAGGCTTCTGGGAGTTGTAGTCCAAGAACATCTGGAGGCCCAAGGTTGGGGACCACTGCTCTAGACCATGAGTTCATCTTTGGTTGGCCAAGAACACAGTTACTTTGTGGCATAGGGTATTCATATTTTATTTATTTATTAAATTTATACCCCGCCCATCTAGACCGAAGTCTACTCTGGGCGGCTAACAATAAAAAATGGAATAAAAACAGTGTAGTAAAATAAAAAATAACAATAATAATATAGTTCAAGATATCCAGCAGATGTTTTGCTATGGCGAGTATAGGGTAATAGCAGAGAAAAGCCGAGATGGCCCTTTCAGCTGGGAATGATAGTGAACGTGAAAGAGTCCAGCGTTGTGTTGCTATCTCATTATGGAGACCTAGTGCTTATTGGCTGAGCAGGCACATCAGATATCCCAGAGACAGAGAAAATGGGCACCATTCTGTGAATGCAGTGGAAAGAGCTGGCTACAAAATATTCTGCTCACAAAATATGCCGCACTGGCTAACACAATTTGAAAGCAGTTACGACAATTAGATGATAACCTGTTAATCAAGATAATTTTTGATCTCACATGTTCAAGGTCTGTAGTGCATTTTGCTGCAGTACTTCTTCTTCTTTTGTAGTGAAAATAAAGATTTTCCATCTTCTGCTTCCAGTCCCAGTCAATACATGTTCTATATTGGCCATCCAGTGACATCCATTTGTCAAATCATCCTGAAGCACATATATATAACAAAAATGTTTGCTTCACACAGTTCTGTGGTCACTTCCCTGCTACATTTCTAACCCCTGGAGCAAATTCTCCAATGATGTTTGTTTTATTTTATTTCCTAGTTCTACGTTCCAGTTATCAGCACATCCTATTTTGTTATGTGACCAATTCACATACACACCCTGAAGCTTACATAGAAGCTTTCAATCTTGAGTTGGAACATGGACTTGAATAATAATTTTGCTGATAGCTTTCCATGCAGTCTGACTGATGTTAGTCTATGAGATTTTTCTTTATATCCTCTAACTCAGTCTTTCTCAACCTGGGGGTTGTGATGTCCAGAGGGTTTCAAAGTGTTTTCTAGGAGGTTGTGGGTTGTCTTAAATTTGTTGTAAGGTAAAGGTTAAGGTTCCCCTCAACAAATGTCCAGTCGTGTCTGACTCTAGGGGGCAGTGCTCATCCCCATCTCCAAGCCGTAGAGCCAGCGTTTTGTTCAAAGACAGTTTCCGTGGTCACGTGGCAAGTGCGACTAGACACGGAATGTCATTACCTTCCCACCGAGGTGGTACCTATTTATCTACTTGCATTTGCATGCTTTCGAACTGCTAGGTGGGCAGGAGCTAGGACAAGCGACTGGAGCTCACTCCATTGCATGGATTCCATCTTACGACTGCTGGCCTTCTGACCTTGCAGCACAGAGGCTTCTGCGGTTTAACACGCAGCCCCACCACGTCCTTCTAAATGTGTTGTAGCCCTTGTTAAATAATTTCTTCCTTGACCTTTTGGAGTGGAAAATCAAAGTTAGCATATATGTGTATGTATGAGAAACAGACCCTTCCAGGGAGAAAGAAGCCTCTACTTTCTGAGAAGGGATAATTTCACCCGGTTAAAAAAGCCTTTTTTATGCAAATATGGTCTGCCTAACATGAAAGGCCACTCCCACTACCTGTCTGTGTTGCATCCACTACTATTGCTGCCCAGTAGTTGGGCTTCAAGAATTACTCTGCCCTCATCACCACTGGAGCTATGAAGCCATTTCTGCCTTTATAAATGGCACGTTCCTCTTAGTATGGTTTTTCACCTTTGACTTTTCCATCTTGCATGATTCTGTTAGGAGTCCAGAGACTTGATGGTGCCTAGACTTGAAAGTACAATATTGTTCTCAGCTTCCTGACGTACTCAAACCTCTCACTACATTAATGTGCGCATCCAGGGAAGGAGAGAAGAGTTACACAACTTTAATGTGGACAGTGAAGAAATCCAAAGAACACTAAAGAAAATTATTAAGTGCAAGGATGTGTCATTGGGGATAAAGGGCAAGATAATCTGTATTGTGATATTCCTAAGTATATATGGATGTAAAAGCTGAAAAGTGTGGAAAGCTGATTGGGAAAAAATTATTTGAAAGTTCATATTGGAGGACAGCTTTATGGACTACCTGTGGACAACCAGAAAAACAAATAAGTGGGTGCACAGGCTGGATAACAAACAGGATTTTTTTTTTCAACAAGGGAGTTGCATGTTCCTAGTATTGAACTCTGTCCAGGAATTCTAGCATCACGTTGTAGACTGTTGAGGTTTCCAGACGTTCATTAAAAGGACTCTCAGATCTTAATGTAGTACTTCTGGTGTGATGTGACTAAGGTATGTATGGCCATGCACAGATTAGTGCTCTTTAAGAATGGGTGCAGTCAGTGTCCCTATTTATATTAGGCAAAGATGCCTGGACCACAGCCATCCACACACAAGGCCAGGCTCAGGGAAGCAACAAAGCAAAACAAGCCAAGATGAGTCCTGCTTTGTTTCATGAACATTTGCCAGTTGAAGCCTTGGATGAGTTGTTTGTATCTTTCTTGACAATCAGGCAATCCTGTGCTTGTTTTGTATATTTGGAGAGCTTGGCAAAATTCCTTGCCCCAGAAGAGGCAAGGAATCTTGTGACACTGCCAGCTTCCTTGTAAAGATGCCCCATGGGGATGAGACAGCCAAAACTGGTGACAAAGAGGAACGTGACAAGTATTCTTTACATCCCTACCTCAGATATTGAAGTGCAGAGTTTCTTTGAAAGCTGACAGGAAATAGAGAAAACATTTGACTGCTGCCTAACACTAGACAACAAATTCCCCACAGTTTTATGCAGATGTTAAAACTAGCACAAGGAACAGAAGAGACTTGACCAGCAGCCAAGAAGTTGAACAGCACCATCTTCTGGAACCATTGTAAAGCCATACTCCCAGTCTTTGTCCTGGCCATTTGGTGCAGAATGGTGCCCTGGCTGATGACATCAAAAGCCACTGAGGGTTCTAGCAGAAACAGCAAGGACACAACCCCTCCGCCCAGCTCTCAGTGTGAATCATCTGCTAGAGTAACCAGGCCTTTCCAGTCTTCAAACCAGGTTGCAGGTTCAAATGGGGACAGGTAATTAATTGGTACATGATTTCTCAAAGAAAAATAAATATGCTTGCAAACAAAGAATTTATAACAAAGCTATGAGAGAGTCAAGTGAGAGAAATGACAACATATTTGGCAGAGCCTGAGAAGTAATACCTTTTCTTTCTT